CCGGTACACTTTGGCAGATCTTGAAATTTTGTTAAAATCTTTCTCACAGGCCTTTGGGCTATGCATCATTTAGTTCCTATGATGTAAATGGACTATAATGGAGTATGAAATGTGGTACATTGGGCCACGGTTAGATACAATGAAAAAGGTACACAGGTTTCACATGTGATGTAGATGGATAATATTAGCGTGATGTCGGATCAAGCGGCACTCATGGGAATTTTCGCGGGTTGACGGGGAGTCAACAGGACCCCCGGTTTTAGGGCTGTCACAACACATCTGCACTTAGTTGCGGGGTTCCAAAAACCATCATTTATGCTATGATTACCTACAACATCAAAATATGAACATTATTCATAAATTCGGCTAACCTAAGTAATTCAATGCAAAGTTAAGTTAAAATACATGTAATGAGGCCGTTAAATATGCAATATTACACACTCATCTCACCCCCCAACATAAGCTTTGCAAGTCCCTAGAAAACTAAATGTTAAAATTAAGCAAACAAAAATAAACCTATACTAATTCTGCTATTGCATTTAGCATATGCAACAAGTCTTTAAACCCCTAGGTGATCCCTAATGGATGAGTTTTGTCTCGTGAAGGTTTCTAGTGAAGGTACTTACAAGCTTCTTTTCCTCGTATCCAACATTTAAAGCATATGGCCTTATCCTAACTAGCACTCGAATGTCAACAATAGCTTTGTCCAATGAACCCGAACTAGTCACACATGAATAGCCTTAAATGCTATTCTAGAGTATCCACCTACACATTTCCTTTCAAAACTCGTGTGTGTGTGAAATGAATATGTAATTTAAGCATTTACTCAACAGAATCCACATTCACTTAGCTATCCAAATTCAGCTTTGATGCAAAACTCACCAAGGGTTTCTCTCAAAAATGAATAGCTCAATGATTATCTGAGCATGAAATCTATGTGTATATGTGAGATAGAATCATATGCACAAACCAAAGTGTGCTTACATATAATCCAAAAATGAAGCACATGTATACATATAAAACAACCTTGACATAATCTCATGAAAGGAATGTTAGGGCACTAGTTAGCAAAATGAACTTTTCTTTTTCTTTAAAAGTGTGTCTTCCCCATGCTTTCTCTAGATCGTTTTGAACTTTCAAGGGTTATAATGGGGCCTTGGGGGGTGATATTAAGGAAAATGAAATGAAGGATATGGAATAACAAAGAGGGTTGTTTCGAGTGAATGAATTTTATTTCAAAAACATCTCACTTTTCATGGGATTTTCAGTCTAACACCATCACCGCACTCTTTGTTTCTTTTCTTTCTTTTCCTTAACATTTTCCTTTTCTTTTGTCATTCTTTTCACCCCCTTTTCTCCTTTTCTTGGATTTTTTATTCTTTTTCATTCAACTCTTTGACTTCAACTTCATTCATCCATTTGGTTAAGTTTCGGCACCACAATTCCTTCTCTTGTATGATCACTCATATTCAGCTTCTAGGAACAACCAAGGTGAGGTTGATTTTTATCATTTTGTACTGGCTTGGTTAAAATGTGTGGCATGAAAATGAAATTACAATTAAGGCTCAATCATGGCAATAGGGGTAAAATTTTCACAAGAAAAAAAGGCTAAGGCTCAAAATAAATCAAAGATGGCCGAAGATCATTTCTTGATAAGCATGGAGGAGCATTATGCATTTCAAGACAAGTCAATTAACTACCCAAATGCACTCTAACCAAAACAAGTATAATGAAATTATTGAACAAATTTGAAATTTGAAGAATTGTTCCTTGAGTAAATGTCAGTTCCCTCCAACAAGGATTGACAATAAAGCTCACACGGGTACTTATTTCATCTCCAATATGCATGTCAAGCTCTAAAATGTGGATCCAATCCATAAATTCCAAAATTACACATTCAAAGTGCACTATGGTTGAGTTTGAAAGAAAACATATATGTGATACTCCGGCATAGGAAAAACTTCTATGATGTGCTTATGTATCCAAAGTTCAAAATAAAGATCAAACTATCACTAAACCCAAACATTTTGAATAGGGGAATATGGTTCAATATTAGATATTTTCCACCAAAAGTGCTAAAATTTTCAAAATTTTCAGATTTTCAACTATTCTATACAAAAAGTGGTGGAACATGTAAATGGTGCACCTTTCATTCACTCTCATTCAAATGCACTGTTAAATTTGTTATTATATCATGATCACCACATCAGTGGTTATAATAATGATTATAATCAACTACCATATTGATTTTAATAATCCACTTAATACGTACTATATAACATAATATAATTACACCATAAGTTATTATTCAATAATCAGGTTTTATCAAAGCATCATTGCCTTTATCTTTTATTTCCTTCCTTCAACCTACAGTGTTTTAGCTTGAAAACTACCAGGCACAGAAACAAATTCATGATCAATAAAATTAGATTTTCCATTCATAGATGAACATATCAATCTTTTGTTGGATGTCATGGTATCATGATTCATCCATAACATCATAGAAAAATCCCTTACTATAGAAACTGTATTCATACCACAATAATCTTATAAATTTGTATCTGCCATTAAAGCAATATCATCTTGCCACTAAGGCAACATATTAGCCATCAAGGCTATATTTCTCAATTCTAACGTCATCTCATCAACATTTGACAGATAAACACTCATAAGTCATCATTGACTCTCTTTACGTATATATATCCGTTCATGAGCCATCATACATGACATTCACACATGTATATCAATTATATATAGGTATACATAAGCCATTATTTTTGGCAATCACATAATTTTGCTACAAAGGCCATAACTTAGCCATTAATGCTATATATGTTTTTTAGCATAACCTGCCACAAAGGCTACATCTGTCACTAAGACATAATAACACCACTAATATCACACAATTGCCTTTTCTAGGCTTTTCTAACTAATAGGCTCTTTACACACTAATAAGGTTTTCCACCTTCACATAATCTTTTTTAATTAATGACTAATTTACTCCTTCAATATCAACAATTTGGTACTAGCCATATAGATTAGATCACGACCTTCAAGGTGCCATACTATCTTTAAATCAAATAAACATCATGCATATACACCAATAATTACACAGACATATTCTAGCGATTATCAATTACATGAGAAAACACACTCACATGTGTCATTGAATTAATCACATAAAAAATTAAATCCTTCTCGTGAATAGCAACAGTCTGCCACACAAACCATAACCTCATACTTGACTTTAAAACTATATGGAAAATATTATGTAACCCAAATTTGCATCCCAAATTTGGATAAGTAAGTCCCATCAACTTTTTTAAATGGGACCCACTGATCCAATAATCTCCTTATTTGGGATGCAAATTTAGGTTACAGATTTGGGTTACATAGTACTGCTCAAACTATGTAGTCAAACCAATCAACTTTTAGCTCCATTGTTTACCACAATATATGTGATTTTTTATTTCCCAATATATTCCCCCCTTTTCGGAACCCCTAGGTGATCATGACATCATCTTTACCCCTAGCACATATTATCTCAAATCTCAATTTTTTTTGAGAGGGAAACGGGGAAGGGGAAGGAAAAATTGAACTTTTGACCTCAAGAAGGCAAAACCTTTACAAGATAAGGAGTACCATTGGACCAAAGGTCCATTGGTTCTCAAATCTCATATAAATACTCTTCATACATGCTAAAGGTGTTACATATACATGCACAACTAGTGAATCAACCCATTTCCAAATATTTTCCCAAAGAATGTAACCCAACTACATAGGCATTGCTTACTAACCATCCCATTTTTCCCAAGCTAAGTTTGTATTAAAATTCATATCCCATATATACATATAAATTACCTAATCTCAGGAACCTGTATCATCTTTACTTCTCTTTAGGATTTTCGGAGTTCATGAGTGACACACCAAGTTCTTCCCATAGTCCACCAAAATCACCCGATTTACAACCTGTTAATCCTCCACATACACAACCTACCTATGCATCTCTCTTCAAACAATCATTCAAACCTATTTTTATGGAAGAACCTCTACCCAAGATTGAAAAACCTATTATTTTTTATGAGGGGAATCTTTTTTTTTTCTTCACCAATGAAGAGGTTAACATCATGCCTTAACATGCGTTAATAGACAAGTGTGCCTATGGCAGACCTAGTCAGGGCATGATTCAAGAAGTGGTAAGGTCTAAATGGGGATTGAAAGGTGAGTTTGAGATTGTTTCTATAGACCCAAGGCATGTGTTGATACACTATGAAAGGCAAGAAGATTATGTCAAGACAGGGTTGAAGGATGCTACACAGATTGAAGATTATTTATTCCACTTCTTCAAATGGTTTTCAGGATTCTTCCCACGAATAGAGCCTTTGATTGTCCCTTTTGGATTTCTCTTCCAGGCTTGCCACTGAATGTTTTCAAGAAGAATTATCTGGAGGTCCTTGCCAAGGCCTATTGCGAAAGTGTTAGCATATGATCAGGCAACGTTAACTCTTTCAAGACCGAGTGTTGCTAGAATGTGTGTGGAAGTCAACTTGCTAGCCAACAATCCATCTAGAATATGGATAGATATGGGTGGTAAGGAAGCTCGATGGCAGCACATTGTGTATGAGAAAAACAAGCATTTCTACAAAAGTTGCAAGAAATAGGGCCACTGTGAGAAAGAATGCCGCAAAAGGAAACCTAATGATGATATTGAAAGAAACGATATATTTCCTATAGAATCCAAGGCAACTAAGGCAATACAGAAGAATAACAAAGGAAAGGTGGTTCAATAAACATTGGAAAGTAATAGAAAGAAGAATCAAGAAAGTATGGAGAATAATGGGTTGAAAAGATCTCAACTGTAATTAATGATATCAAACGTCATACAACAACCAAAAGGTATTGGGAAACCACAATATAAGAGGAAACCAACTAATGGGCAAAAGGGAATTTTGGGTAAAATATAGGGAATTATGTAGCATTTATAGGAAACATATATACAGGCACAACTAGTACTATTGCGACTGTGGATCGCTCAGGGAAAGACAATATCAACATTCCGAACCTAGAAGGAAATGTTCTTGATTTGGTTAGTCCTAATTCCTTTTTAGGTACTAATTCCACAAATCCACCTAATGTAGTGGAGGAGAATCAGGATTTAAGTAGGAGAACTATGGAGATTGAGGATATGGAGAAAGCCAATGATTCACTCAGAGACGGAAATAATTTTGGTATGGCAAGTCTTAATCCTGATTTAGAAATGAAAAGGAATGATTTTGATATGGCAAGTCCACATGATGTAGAGGAGGGACATTTGGAAAATATAGCGTTGGTGATCACCAATGAGCAGCCTGTTGGCCAATACTTGCTAAATTGGCAAAATTCATTGGCTTCTGATTCTACTTTCCATGTGGATTGTGAGTATGTTAGTGCTGAGAACTGTGGTACACCCCTGGATGATGAAAGAGGTTTGCTTTGTACAAAGGTCCCACATGATAAGGGCTTCCACTCTGAAGATTAAGTTGTTATCAACCATGAATGTGCTAATATAGACTCCCTTAACTCAGATAATGATGAGAGTTTTGAGATTGATTTACAAATGAAGGATTTAACTCCCATTGGTATTGTTACTGAATCGAAATCTAAAAGGTAGCCCATTCTCCAAATTTCTTATGATTAATACAATTTTATGGAACGTGAGGGGAACAAACAAAGAAGCAGCCTGAATGAGACTTAAGGAATTGGTTAAATCAAATGACGTGTGGTTAGTATCTCTTATGAAACCAAAAATAAGGTCGTATAAGTTGCATAATTTATGCGATTACCTGGGCTTTTCATCCTTTATGGTGAACCCAATGACTGAGAAACATATTTGGATTCTTTGGGATCATAGAGTGAAGGTAAATGTGATTGTTGTGCATGAGCAAGCACTCACGGCTGAATTATCTTTTTTGGGTTCATTACCTCTCTTTATTACATTTGTTTTTGCAAAATGTGGTCTTTTACTTAGAAGACCTTTATGGTCTCACTTCACTGATATACAAATCACTGTTGTGCCTTGGATGATAGTGGGAGACTTCAATTCAATTGTTTCTTTAGTAGAATGAAAGGGTGGATCGTCTCTTTCTTTGGCTGTGATGAGTGAATTTGTCTCTTTTATAAATCACATTGGACTGTATGATTGTGGGTTCTCTGGTTGGTCATTTACTTGGTCTGGCAAAGAATTGATAGGGCTTTGACTAATGTGAATTAGAGCGATATGTTTGATAAGACATAGATTGAGCATGCAGCTAGAATTCATTCTGATCATTTTCCTCTTATATGTAAATTTTCTAAAACTACTGGTTCAAGGAGGGTATCCTATTTCAAATTTCTAGATATGTGGACAGAACATCCTACTTTATTGCAATTGGTAGAGAAAAACTGGGTAGGGAATTTCTCAAACAATTCGATTGAAATTTTTTTCTTGAAGCTAAATTACATGAAATTCCATTTAAAGAAATGGAATAAAGAAGTATTTGGTAACGTATTTGAAAATATTAAAGAAAAGGAGAAATAGCCACAACAAGGCAGAATTATGGGTAGAGGAGGAGGAGGATTCGGAGTCCAATAATCAAGCCTTGAACAATACGAAGATGGAGCTGGATGATGTCCTAAGGATAGAGGAAATGTACTGGAGACAAAAATCAAACATAAGGTGGGCACTTGAAGGCCAAAGGAACACCAGATTGTATCATGCCATAGCAAGGGACAGAGTAGTCCCAAACAAGATTTCAAGAATAAAAAATGCAAAGGGTCACTAGTTAGAGAATGAAGATGATATTGCTAGAAGTGCAATGAATTTCTTTTATACACTATACAAATTCGAGGCTTATAGTATGGATCATGAGTTATTTGGTAGTATTCCCAGCTTAGTTACTCTAGAATAACATTTAATGCTTACCTCTCCAATGTCCATGGAAGATCTCAAGTCTGTTGTGTTTGATATGTCTACCCATAGTGCACCTAGTGCAAATGGTTTCTCAGGTAAGTTTTTCCAGACTACTCGGGAAATCATTAAGGGTGACATTTTGGTTGCAGGTAATTTTTTCTTGCAGGGTGGTGTGATCCCAAGGTCAGTCAATGCTACTACTTTGTCTCTAATTCCCAAAAAGGATACTCCATCTACTTTTGCTGATTTTAGACCCATAAGCCTTTGTAGTTTTTTATATAAAATTTTCACAAAGTTGTTAGCAGCAAGACTTGGTGGACTGCTGCCTAAGCTTATCTCAAAGGAACAACATAGGTTTGTCAAAGGTAGAACTATGGGGGATAGTATTGCCCTGGCCTAGTTTATGATTGAATGAGCTTGATAGGCAGGTGGAAGCGGGGAATGCTATTCTTAATCTTGACATGATGAAGGCATTTGATAGACTGGAGTGGGATTTCTTACAAAAAACATTGAACAGTTTTGGTTTTTCAGAAGATTTTATTGGTATTATTTCAAATTGTCTGAGGCATCAAAATATTTCTTTGTCTATTAATGGAGTCCGGCATGGTTTCTTTCCTAGTTCTAGAGGATTAAGGCACGGTGATTCATTATCACCTTCTCTTTTTATTCTAGCAGAGCAGGTGTTGTGCAAAGGCTTGAGATTACAATTTGAGCAAAGATTAGTACAATGTTATCACACAGGCAAAGGTTCAAAGCTTCTAAGTCATTTGTTGTTTGCAGACGACACTCTCATCTTTTTGAAAGGATGCAAGAAGTCTATGAATAATCTTTTGAAATTTGTGGGTAGACATGACCAATCATCTGGACAGAGATTGAACAAGTAGAAGAGCTCTCTCTACTGTTCTTCCAAAATTTTAGTTGTAAGGAGAAATATGCTATCACAGGCTGCAAATATACCTCTCAAACAATGTCCTCTCACATACTTAGGGTTCCCAATTATTAGGGGGAGGGTCAAACTCCTCTATTTTGAAGATTTAATGTGGAAAATCCAGTCTAGATTGCAGGGATGGTATGCTAAACTTCTTTCTAATATTGGTAGAATTGTCCTTATAAAATCGGTGTTATGTTCACTCCTTATCTACCTACTGGCTTTTTTGAACCTGCCTAAGGGGATCATTGCAAAAATGAATGCTACTATGTCTTCTTTTATGTGGTCTAACAAGATAAATGCAAGAAAAAGGCATTTACTTTCATGGAAGTCTATAACTTTGCCACTAGAAGAAGGAGGTCTTGGAATCAGAAAATTTGAGGATGTGCAAAATTCATTTTGAGTGAAACAAGTGTGGAAGTTATTGTAGAATACTTCTCTTTGGTCTTCTTTATTTTCTGCTAAGTATTTGGGAGGCAACCATCTACTATTGCATAATAGTCAAGTGCAATCCAAATGTTTCAAAGTCCTTTCTCCTTGGTTTGAAGTTATTGTTAATAATTCCAGGAAACTTGTGGGTTCGGGCATTCGTGTAGATTTTTGGTGTGGTAATTGGACTGGTGGAGGTCCTCTCCTTCTTAGGAACTCAATCACTCTAGTTCACTATCCCAAACTATCTGAGCTAATTGTTCAAGGTCAATGGCAGCTTCAAAGTGTGTCTCAACATCATAATCTACTGCAAGAGGTCCAGTCTTCTGGAATTATCCTATCTGAGCAAGAGGACAAACTTATTTGGCAGCCCACTGCTTTTGGCAATTTTACTATCAAAACAGCTTGGAAGCTATGTAGGAGCAAGAATATACAGGATGATTAGGCCATCAAAATTTGGAAGCAGCGCTCTACTCCTAGTGTGCAGTTACTTGGGTGGAAACTCTTAAAAAATGCACTCCCACTAGACTTAAAATTTAAGCCATTGTGAGTTTCATTAGCCAGCAAATGTCATTTATGTTATTGTGAAGAGGAATCTGCTTCTCACTTATTTATTTCTTGTAACTATAGCTCGCAACTTTGGCACAAATTTGCTGGAATGTTTGGCTGTTAGGTGTTCTTTTAAGAGTCCCCACTATCCAGGTTTAATAGGCTGTGTAGGACTTATCTTAGGCAATCTAGAAGTCACACTATAGTAAGGGGTCTATCTCTAATGGTTTACTAGCAATTATAAACATAAAGATGCTATAGAGTTTTTGAAGACCAAAAGCATACAGCCAATTATTTGTTTTCTCTTATTATTCATATGCTTAGGTTACATATCAACATTTTCACGCCCAAAGTCATGGATATTGCCTGTGAACAATCTTTGCTCCAAGCTCTTAACGTCAAGGTGCACACTCAAGTATTCAGGAATGCTAAATGGATTTGCTGGAACTATCCGTCTAAGGGATTTCTTAAACTAAATACTAATGGCACCTCAAAGGGGGAAACCCAGGTCAAGTAAGGGGTGGTGTAGTTTTATGAAATGAGTGGGGTCAGATGGTACTAGCTGGATTATACTACTATGGAACCAGATCGAATATGGAAGCTAAAATCCTAGCCCTATTGGATGGCCTTCTTCTTATACAGGTTTACGGATTGGTGGTTTACCATTTAGTCATAGAAACAAACTCTCAATTTCTTGTGGATTTAATCAAGCAACAGTCTAAATTATCTTGGAAATTTTGGGCTTCTTTCGTAAGATTTTTTCTATTTTACAAACTATGGAGTACCAAATTATGCATTCATATAGGGAAGGAAATGAAGTTGCAGACTCTTTGGCTAACCAAGGAGTCTATGACAATGCTTCTCACACTCATACTTCCCCTCTCATTCTCAATCTACATACGATACAACTTTTACTATAAGATCAACGACAAATTAAATTGCTGCGGTCTAAGATTAAAGTTCTTTGATAAATGCTCTACTTTAGATTTTATGATGTAGCATACAAGTAAGCAGATCAGGCTCTATGACATAATAAGGATTCACAAAAATAGATAAGAGAAATGCTATAGGATTAAAGCACATTCATCAAAAACCCAAAATAGTCCGTTTATACAATCTGCTTATACAAATAAGCAGTCTAGAGTTTACATGTTGATTACTATTTGAATATGTGGTCTACATTTTCCAGAAACAAAGGGAATATGATAGTCACCTATTTTTCTTCTCCTCATCCATAGGATCAATGTCAAGGCCTTCGGTATTCTGGTGGCAGCATCTCACATGGTTCTGTCTTCACTGCTTACTTTCTCTTCTCACCCCCAGAATATTTGTCCCCTTCGTATGTGCAGAGTCTCTGGATTATCTGATGGCTCCCTCTCGCTGGATATTCATTTTCTACATCGTCAAAATGAAGGGGCATTGTAAACCCCCACATTATATTCTTTATATAGCAATGTAATTATGTTTTGAAATGCTAATATATGTAATGATGTATGCATGAACTAGATGGATTGTAAGAGTAGAGATAAAATTTTAGTTGAGGTAATAGGGTGTGTTGTAGAAGTTTGGAAGTATTCCAGAGTAAAAACACATTTTACACAAAATTTGGGTAGAAAGGATTTTGGACACGTCCTAGTATTTGGATCATAAATTTTCATTTTGATGTCCATTTGAACTGAAATTT